GATCCCGGCTCCCAGATCCCGGGGTCGTGGGTCTCTCTTGCTCGTCTAATGTGCGCGCTCCAATGGCCGTAAACCAATTCAAAAGCATATTTGCAAGCACTGATGGACCGTGGACCGCAACAGGGTAAGGGGATATGGGGGATATAGACCAACATCGAAGGGTGATGTACAATAGACGAGGTCCTTGAAATATAATATTTAGCCGGGCTAAGAGTGAGTTGAGCCCTTGGCTTGTGTCTGGCCAGAATTACTTGAAATCGACCTCCCACAGTGCACTGACGAAATATAAAACTATTTCTCTGTTTCTGTTCTTAAATATTATTTGTAATTAAGATTTAAAATATTTTTCATATTTTTGTTTAAATAAACTTGTATGTTTTCCAATGAGGACAATTCACTGGTTTAAATATAAAAACAGAAATCAACGTATGCTTTTATAAGCTATTGAGGTGAAATCACTTGAATCTTTCCGAAGTGCAGAATTGGCGGAATGTCGACTAAGGGGCATCTACTGATAGCTGGCCTATGTCACCGATGAAGATGTGGCAGAGTGGCAATGGCAATGCCTTTGCCCTTTGCGTTTGCACCATGTGCGAGCCATAACAATGTGGAAAATTGTTTCCTGTATCAATTTCACACATTAAGGAAGCAATTCGATTTTATCGCTTCCTCATGACTACACGTTCAATTATTGAAGAGTTTACGTTTGTGCCGCCGGCGCTTTCCTTTCCCTAAAATCCAACACTTCCCCATTTTTAGCTCCCTAAATTCGAGGTTAGAGCCTTAAGTAGTCGTGTGCTGCTGGCCTCTTTGCCAAAAAGCATTTTGCATACATTTGTCTGTCTTTCAGTCTGAGCTTTTTCGAATGGCAATGCGTGTGTGTTTTGTACTTGGTTTAGGAGGTAATTCTTTTCAATTGTTGTCTTACAGGGCGTTTTACAAGACGTCTGATTGTTTGGGGGAGGAGTAATACGAGTACTTGAACTCGATGCAATGTCGGTCGTTACTTTCTTTGTGATTATCTTGAAAACACTCTTCTTTTCGATTCCTTATTGAACTCCATAATGGACCAAAAATTAAGAACAAAAATATATATTAAGATATATTTGAAGATATTACTGAACCTATACAAATATTAACAGCACACGGTAAGGGTTGGTAAAGTACTTTCATAACACACTAATACCCATTGAACTCAGTTCGTTTCCTGATATTAACCATTTCCCCGAACTGTCTCCCATTTCGCTTTTAATATTTACCAATTTTGATTATCCAATACAGAGCGAGGCCAGACCTGAATCAAAATTGAAATCTCAGCGCCGACAAGAGCATTTAGGTGACGCTGAGGCCAACTTCCGACCTTGTCCCCTCGTCCTGGGCCCTGTCAGCCTTTTCAGCGGATTCAGCCATTTCAGCTTTACCAGCTTTTCCCAGCTTTTCAGCCTTTGGAAGCCAGACTGTGCTGTTTGCATATCAATTTGGGAATAAGCAACTCGGAGCTCTGACAGCGTTTGTGTCAACATCAACAACTGCTTGGTATGCGTGGCAGGCGGACGATGAGGTTGCCATTCGAGCCACATACAAAATACAAATGAGCCATTGTGGGTCACGTAGCGCTCAATAGGTCAACGGGTCATAACAGATTCGTTTCGATATTTGTTTATTGATGGCTTTCAGCCACGCCCCCTTCTCTCTCTGGCGTATGTAATTAATAAACAAAGGACGACAACGGACTTCTCCGGTCAATTTTTTTCCCTTATTGTTCTTTGGTCGAACACAAATTCAGTGAATTAGCAAAGAAATTAAAAAGTAATTTCTGTAGAGCAACAAGGAGCCAAGGATTTGCAATTGTCTGTTGAAAATGTTGTGCATGCAAATGAAGAGGAAGATCCTTAAACGGCTGATGATGATAATAATGATGATGGTCTGACAACGATGCCAACTGCCAGACCGAAGTTGAAACTTTTAATTTGATTTGCAGCATTTTAATGGATTTTAATGAAACGCAAACAGGCGACGATTGCAGCAAGGAATAGCTGAGGCACAAGGAGAAAAAAAAACCAGCTCAAAAGGACACTCAAGTTAAAAAACTTTGACAAATGCCAAAGCGCGAAAAATTCACTTCACTTTATTTTCGGTAACTTAGACGCAACTCGAGAACTTCCACTTGATAAGCGTTTCGCAGACATGGCCAAATGCGCCTCCTTCGCCGTTTCCGTTTTCTTAATTGAAAATGTTTGAAATTCCATGCCGACTGTCGGGGCTAAATCACAAAAATCTCATCGGTGTGGCGGCGGTAGAGGGGAATAATTCAAAATTAATTTCAATTAAGTGTACTTCACGAATCGTGAATATGACAGCTATGCGTCATAAGTCATGCATGTTTTCACAGACGCCGACAGATGGACAAGGGCGGGCTAATTAAAATCACATAAATTACGCATACGCCATGTGGCCGCTACTGGCGCGAAATGAAGCGAAAATGTGAAAAGTTTTTGGCATTTTTGATCAAAAGTCCATGGGCCGACGAATTTGATTAGCTCCCAGGCCCATGGCTCATTAAGAGGTCCTGGCCTTTGTCCTTTGTCCGCTGTCCTTTCTCTCTTTTCACTCACTTTTCGCATTTTTCTCTTTCCCGACTTTTCATCTTGGCATCTTCCATTTTGTCCGTTTTCTGTGTGTGTTCGGGTGTGTGTGTGTGTGCCGTGGCCTATCTTTCGGACAGAACTCATGCAACATTTAGTGGCAACTAATTGCAGCAGCATTGAAATTAATTATTTAACCCTTTTTATTGTTTAAGCCCTCGCTCGACTTTCGACTTTGGGCTTTCGGCTCTCAGGAGCCGCACCCGTTGCCTTTTCGGGCCGCGCCTCATTAGCATAATTAATTGTGCAAATTTGCGTAGTTAAACAAGTTATTATTTCAAATTAAACGAGTACAGTTCGTCACTGCAAGAGGTTGAAATTGTCAGGGAATTTAATAATAATTGCCTTGATATCATCCGGTGACCCTCGGAATGCCTTTGAAGATAGGTAAGATGCTTAAAGGCTCGTTAAATCATTAAAAATAAATTCAAAATAAATTGAAGCACTTAATGGGAGTTTCAAATGAAATGGGGAAAGTTCTTTAAATACTTTTCTAAATATTTTCGTTGATCAACAAAATCTATTGCCTACTTTTAAGCGTATCTTTAATTCTAGACTAAAAAATTCATTGAAATCGCCGTCGGTCAACTGCACACATTGTAAATTTGGTTTAACGAGGAAATATATTTATTTTGCATAAATGGCCTAGCTTTCAATTAAAACTGCCGCTGTGAACTGTTGGAGCAACCTGTCTGTTATAATACAGATTAGCGATTCGAACTCTGAATAAACGCATGGAAATCCATAAATTGAATTATTTATTTATCTTATTTATTTGAATTTTTCATGAACAGCAAGAAAACAAAAATAAATAACAAATGCATTGCAGTTCGCCTTTTGAAATATTTTACACAATTTAATGGCCATTCGCCAAAATGAAAAACTAAAGTAAATGCTTTTATATACATTAACATTATTTGCTCTCGTTCAATTGTATTTTTATCGTTTGTGTGTGTGTGTTTTTTTTTTTGTTTTTTACAACCGAAAGATGTGCGAATGAGTAGGTAAATTAATTTATACATTTATATTTTATATTTCTGCATGTTTCCTCATCACACACTCTGAGTTTTATTTTAATTGGATAAACTTATGAACAAAAAGTGATTCCAGAAACGTACAGGCTTCATTTCATTACTATACCTCGGTACAATATGTTTTATATATAATTTGTTTTTTTTTTTTAGTTGGCCTTCTGTTACCAGATCGCTTTTTTAGAGGGCTTTGACCCAGTGGATAATGAGTAGTGTCTATTTTGTAGTTGCTCAGCTAAATGAAATGTTTATTGCGTTTTTGCTTAGTTTTATTACCTATGTGATTTTGCTGTTTGCATTTTGTTTTTGTTTTTTTTTTCGTCGGCCTTAGTAAATACATGCTGAGATATATGGCGAATAGCGTTATATACATACGTATATATGGCTGAGTCTGGCTTAGTGACATGATTTATAGTTTATAGTTGTTTGTCCTCTGTTTTTAATGTTTAAAATTGTATTTACATCGTATTTATGCTAGACTTAATTATAATGATTTTTACAGCATCTGCATTCTCGTTTTTCCACTGATAAAATCGCATTTCATTCCATTATCCTTTTGCTTTTTATGTGTTCACTTATTTTTTATGGTGTTTCATATGTGTTATTTTTTATACTTTACCCAATACCCTTGGCTTTGGGGGGGTGTGTGCGCGGATATATTTGCTCGAAAAATGTTTCATGTGCACTACGAATGAAAATCAATTGCCGGACAACAATCGAAAAAATTACGCTTATATACATATATTGGAAATTCGTTTGGTTTGCTGGAGAGTGACTTATTTTGGCTAGTATCAGTGTCAGGCAGGTAAATCAATTTTTTCTGGCAGTTTTTGTTTGTTTTAATTTTTTCTTTTTTTTCTTTATGCTTTAACTCAGTATGCTTGTTTAACTAACCGACATGAAAATATTCATTTACAAGGATAACACGACTTTCACTGCAAAGAACTATCTGTTTTCACAACAATATTGTTAACATGGCGAGTTTTAAAAGAAATAATGACTTTGTCAAACACAATTTATTACGGCTTAAAAAAGTAAACAAACCATTTCAGAAGCAATAATTCTTTTTATGTTTTTTTTAATTTAATGCCTAACAAAGATTTTTAAAATTTATAATTCAATTTTTTGATTTATTATCCAAGGATAAAATCATTTTATCAAACGCAATATTTTCCGAACTCATGATCATATTTTTGTTTCAAAAGCAAAAAGCTTATATGGTCTTAAAAAATGTGATTATTTACTAAAATATTAACAAGAAATAATTATATCAAATGGATTTTTTCTTAAAATATTAATTTGAACTTGGTTCATTTACATTTCTTAAATATTAAAAATCAAAACACAAAAACATATTTCATAAATTTAAAACAACTTTATGATTTTCTTTTCTGTTTCCTTTTTCCTTGAGCATTTATTAACCATCAACACTTTTGTCCTTACTCCATAAATTGTATTTACATTCATCAACCCAAAAGCTTTCCCTATTTTCTAGTTTGCGGTCTTACCTTTGTCTGTTACCCTAACTATCTAACTAGGTGACTAACTGACTGACTAACTAACGTGATGATATAGTTGACAAAGTTGCCATACGAGGCGTTTTCCATTCCCAACCGCCGGATTTTAATTCATCCTTCGATTTTCATTCTCTGATAGATGTCAGTGTTCATGAAGAGCGCCGCAAACAGTGAATTAGTAGAACTGCCGCCAGGAATGCGGAAATTAGGAATGTCCTGCCACAAAGGCTGCTTCTTTGTTCCGCGCCAGAGTCTTCAATTGAGGAAAAGTAGAGAAAATATTGGAAAATAAAGAAGAGAAAATTCCATGGTTTTAGTTAATTTAACCAAAAAATAAATAAGTTCTTAAATAGATAATTATAATAAATTAAAACTTTAGATTGGATAATTATTTTAATGCGTTTTTTGTAAATCATTCTTAAGTATGTAAATGAGAATTAAATTAAAACTTTTAAAAGTTTATTTAAAAACCAACTCACTTGCATTCGCATGTCTCAGCGGCATTTGATTATTGAAATTGTCGAACTGCGACAGCGACGCACTGAGCGTCTTCTCACGCCGCAATTCCGGATAATTCTCAATTTCCGCCACGCACTTGAGCTCCAGGATTTTCCCGGCCTGGTAAAAGCGCTGTCCCTGCAAATAGAAGTGCACCTGAAGCCTCTGCCGCCGCAGAACATAATCATGTGCTGCTATGCTGGTGTCAGTAGTGGGATGCAGTTCACCCAGCAGTGGCTGAAAAGTGGAGGAAATTCAAAAATTACTACTTTCCCAATGAAAATCAATGGTATTGTTAAGAAAATTGTTTTTATTTATTTTTTTCAATGTTTTAAAGTTTAATTTAAAGTTCATTTTAAGGGAAATTTAAGTATTTAAAGTAAAATTAATTGAATTAAAAATAGAAACCAACCTGTTCGCCATTGATGTACCAGGTGAGCCTTGTTGGCAGACTGGAATAATCCGAGGAGCAGGTGGCGCTGAGGAACTCCTCCATGCGGTACATTGAATTGAAACTCTCGATGAGCGGGTCGATCTGGGGCAAAGCTGCATGTAATTTAAAAGAAAATAAGTTACTGAAATAAATCGAATTTGCTTAATAGAGTTCCCACCTGCCACCGTCATGTTGTCCGCCTTATCCGCCAGCTTAAAATGAGGAGCATCGCCGCTAACTTCGCATTTGTAGAGACCCGTCGATTTGGCACCTTGTAAACTTAAATCTAGTCTACAACTGGATTCATTGCACACGTATTTTCCATCGAGAACTTGCAGTCCTGGCACCCCAAATGTCATGTAAATTGGACTCGCTAAGGGGGAATATCTAAACGGGATAATAGATTGTGATTTTGGTTTTTTAATAGATTTATATCTGGTTACCTAAAGAACTCCTCGTGATCCTTGTACCATTTAACCGAGTTTAGTGTGTGACCTCGCATATCGTAACTGCAGGATAAGGTCACATTGTCTCGGAAATCCACAATCTCGGGCACACTAATATCCGTGACAAACAGGGCGAATGCGATTGGGTAGTCTAAAAAGCATAGATAATTAGAATTAATATGAGAATCTAATGGTATAGCGAATGAATGTTATTATTATTGTCATGTGTTAACATTTTTGCGAAACATTTGAAACAAAATTGTATTCCCCTTTGAAACATGAGGCCTTCAAATTTTCTACAATTGTCGCATGAAGAGTTATGTAACTCTAACTAAAAATGCCAAGAGCTTCATACAAACAGTAAAATATTGTTAGATAACATGGAAGCCAGGCTATTTCCTGTAATCGAACCATAGGGTGTGGCACTCATCCTTTGTGTAGGATGAGTACATGCATATCGGCCATCCTGGGGACATTGGATACCCAAACACCCACAGGCCAATGACAAAATTTTTGGTGACCAAAAGCCATGTTCAGCGGTGGGTGTAGTATGCGTAATTTTTAATTTGCCCAGGTGACTGACCTGGGAAAATGCAAAATGGGTGGGAAAACCAAGGGTGGGGGGATGGTTCGTTGTGATGTAGACCGACGGCAGGTGCTTTGTGGCCAAGTTCTGGCACATGAGACATCGAATAAATTTGAAATTTCATGAAATGAATATGCAAAACAGTTAGTTAGTCAGATAGAGGAATACCTACGCCTGAGAGAGATGGTTTGGGCAAGAAACAAAGTGCAATGGATATGGGACCATATGTAACTGGCATATGGAGACCTAGCCCTAGTAGGTAGTTTCTGGGTTTCCAATTCAGATAGGAATGCCCACCAACCGAATAAACAACCAGTGGGTGGTTGGGTTCCAAAAACTGATAAGAAATGCGGACAAACCAAATGTCAAATGACTCGACTTTTGCCTTGCCAAAAATAAATTTAACATGAGCCGAAAGATGCGAAAAAGGACTGAGTGGAATTTTTGTTAGGATCCTTCTTCTCATAAATATTTAGGAGCTGGAACATAGGTTTGAAGAACTTTTCGATCATAGTAGTAGAGAATGCACAGAAATTTTGACAAGTTCTTAACTAAGGAATTTGTTTTCTGATAAAGTTCTAGATTATAAGTACAAATTAGTCGATTTTTGTTATTTTTGTTATTGTTAACATCAGCATTTATTAATAGAAACTTTTCATCAACTAAATTCTAGGCGAACAAAGTTAATTAAATGTTTAATGTTTTCAGATGTAAATTTTTGTGTAAATACACATATTTATCTTCGCTTAAAACAGTTTCTTTTTATAAATATTTTATATATTTGTTTAAAAAAACATACCTTGTGAACTAACCACCAAAGCTTTTAAGCATTTTGTTCATATGCAAATTTACATGAAGGCAAACAACGATGGACAATTACACAAATAAATATTTTATTTAAATTGATTGGAGATAGGTGAGATTAAATGCGGCAAATTGTTGGAATTCATTATGCTTTTAAATCAACGCAATCTAGTAAAAACTTTAAGCCATCCAGCAGGGTGGCAATACAAACCCATTCCCATTGTGTGGGTTGAACGCCATCCGCCCATGGAAGGACGGGGGTTAAGTTGGGACACAGCTACAAACATAGATGTATTTACACCTCAGCACATGAAAACTTTGCTGATAATTAACCTGCACATTTCATTCGAGAAATGGCAAGCACACACAACCACGTATACGACTAACCCACAGCTAACCCACTGAAATCTCCACCCACCTAGGTGGAAATAAGTACACATGCATTTTTGGAAGAGGGACCAACGTCGTGCAAGTTTGGTGATAAATTCATTTGGAGATGCCGAGCAGAGACATTTATGCAAACATTTTTGCTCTGGCATAGTTATTTTTTTAATAGCTCTTTCTGTGGTTTCAGAGTATGTCTTTCTAGCGAGGAATAAGATGTACACATATACGTATCTTTATAATAGAGGGGCATTAAGTCGTCACAAGATGTTAGGTTATATACTTTAAAAAGTTTAATAAATTAACATTATGGTGCTTGTTCTAAAAAAAATAACCAACCTTCCTTGATTCAAAAACCTTTTCTTAACTTCAATATTATTTTTCTGAACCCAACTGTATACAAAAGTCTTCAATGTTTTTCGAGAATCTTTTGCGGTTAGCACATATATATTTACGAGTATAAATATTCATTTCATTTGCTTGTCTACTAAAACCCACAAAGTGGAGAAAAAGAATCTATAAGAGGCTGGCAAACAGTCAAAGTGTTCTTTCTATTTCCTATTTTTAGTTGCATCTAAATCCACAAATTAATTGGGTGCCGTACGGCTGAAGAGTACAACAGATTTTCCAAAAAGTAAATAAACAGGTCCCAGGCATTTGTTATTTGTTATAGTTACTTTGCGGTTAGCCAAAGGCGACATCGTAAATTGGACAACCAACAATGGACAATATTTAATTCCATTAGGCTGGCCAAATTGTTGTTTTGTTGTTGCCGGCACAAACACTCTAAATATAGAAGCGTCCACAGAAAATTGAAAAGCTACAACTCCGCAGCAGAACTTTTCCTGCAAATCCTTTCTCTGACTGTCTTTGTGGCCGAAGCCTTTGTGCTCATGCCCTGGATTGCATGAATTCCCTGTATGAGAAAGTGCTCAGAGGTGTGTGTGGAAATAGTGTCAGTCCCAGGAAAGGAGATGAACTGAATCCTTCTACGGACTGTATCAGGAGGTCAGGAGTGTGTCTATTGTCAAAACACATTACTTTTGAAAAATAACTTGGTTTTTAAAGGTTTATTAAGATTATAGTCCTTGCAGATTAGTTAATAACAAATAGAAACAAAGAAAAATGCTTAATTTAAAAATATAGCAATTGCAAAAAATGTTATTTTGAGCCCTTCTTCAAAGTTCAAATGTCCTTGTCCAATGCTCTCCAATAATTAACATCAATTTGTTCATTCTACTCCAAAGTCTTAACCAATTGCAATTTTTAAACGTAAAAAGAAAAAGTGAAAACCTGCTTTGGCAGTTGCCTATTCCAATTTACCAACTGCATTTCCTAAAGATCTCTCGCTCACACATGATGAAATACAATTTCTAGTGAGCATAGTGAAAAGCGGAGTGAGCCAGCTCATTTAATGCGCTCCAAATTAATTGCCCCATTGCCATTGGCAATTTGAGTGCAGGAGAAGGAATGAAAAGTCGGTGAATAGCGGGAAAAAACCGGGGAAGCGGCTGCCTTTGGCATCCTGCCTAATTGCGAGCATTTCAAAAATACAATTTAAGTTTAAACTGCACTCAAGATGTGCTGCTACTGCTGCTGCCAGTGCTGCTGCTGCTTCAGCAAAAGTTGTGGCAGCAGAAATTACCAAGTGCCAAAAGGGACGAAAAGGGGGCAAGTGCAACTGCAACTGGAACTGCCACTGCAGCAGCGGCAGCCGTTGAAATTATGGCAAAAGTCATTAAAACAGCCAGAGGCAAAAACTTTGCCAATATTGATTTGCGGTTGGTGTTCTCGACAAACACCAATAACAATTAAAATAATAATAATAAACCGATTCAACAATATGAACGGTCGGACAAGGGCGATTTGTCCGGCTCACATTACGCATACGCATCGTTGTCTGCAAATCCCCTCCAGCGCTTCATTAACCAAACAAATATTTTATATACATATATATAGTCAATCCCAAAAAAGAAAACCATATAAAAACAATAATAATTTCCTTGATTCCGGCGCAGAGGGTCACAAAAACTTACCAATTAAAAGTGCGATGAACAGAAACATCAGCCAGCCGTAATCCATTTTTTTGTTGTCCTCGTCGTCGCCCTTATTGTTGCTCTTGTTTGAATAAAATTAATTGCTTCCAGTTATTGTTGCTCTTGGCTTTGGCAGCGGCGTTGATTTATGCAGTTTATCTCCCAGAATCCCTTTGTTTTGAGACTGCAGTCGAGAAAAGGAGGCGGCAAGGATAAAAAAGAATAAGAACTAGAATCGAACAACCAAGTGGAGGTCAAACGGGTAGCTCAATTAATTGAACACTGTGTCAAAATATAAAAAAAAGGAAGATGTACAAAATAAGAGAACGGAATCCACATCGAGATGGAGAAACGGCACAAGAGAATATAAATAAATAAACTCGGCGACAAACTCATGCAGAAAAGTTCAAAGGATACGCTCTGTCAGTGTCGTTATAAATAAATAACAGACGTTAGAGCGTCCCAGGGAAAAAGTAAAGAAGTCCAAGGAGCTGGAGACACGAACTACAGAGAGAAAATAAAAATTAAAGAAACTTTATTTAACCCTGAATACGATTTACAAGGAAGATGAAAATGTTATTTATACTTTTTATGTCCAAAATCTATTAAGCAACGAACATTTAAATTAAAATTAAAAATACTATCTTATAAATAAATAATAATAAATTATTAACCCATCTTTTAAAACAATATAATAATAAAAATCTTTAATAAAAAACTTTTATAATTTCCCAAAAACAAATCCTTCTGGCCAAATTTGTCGCATGAGCACTTTTGAACTTTTCTGTGTACGAACTCGCATGAAAGGGAAAGCAGGAAAAAACAGAAAAAACAAGGACGTGTGGGCGTGGCAGACGCCCTGGCATCCTGTTTTTTTGTACTTCTTGTGTGTATTTGCGTGTATGAGAGTGTATGTGTGTACGTTTGTCAACTTAAATAATTTAAATGCCAAATTCAAACGAATCCATGTGTTTAATATTTGAATAAGCCACCCGGCCACCACCTGCCACGCCCCCTTTCACTAGGGACCCTAAGTCTCAGTACCTTTTCTCTCGTTGTTTGTTTCTTGTTTTACGTTCACTTTATTTTATTTTTGGCTCTGTTGTTCTTGTCAATTTGGGTTTTGTCGGAGTTAACATTAAACTGAAATTGAAGCACTCAACGGAAGCGGAAGTTGCCAGTCCAGTGCAATTTAAACTTGTTTCGTTTTTCTTTGGGTTAGGTTCAAAAGTACTTTTGGAACTTCAGCCACATTCTTTTCACTTCGACAACTTTTGTTTCGTTTTTTTGGTTAACTCAAATATTATGGACTGCACGCTTTGGTTAATTGACCTTTTGCCCAGAAAGTTATTAAAGTTTGGCTCTAACTCGCTTTTATGGCACAGTAATAAATGCTTGGGATTTACTTTCTTTAAGTTAATAATATCCTTGTTTTATGAGTGTGTTTTTTTTTTTGTTGGTATTGAACTCGAATCGGTCGGCGTTTTAGGACCCCTATGGAAAGTATCTCCGCGCGGCTTCAGGCTTACGAGCTGACTGAAGCTGCGGACTCGGATTCGTGAGTTCAACTTCACGGATGCCACCGCAGTCGGCTGCGCAGTCGGCGTCGCCGTTGCTAAAAAGGACTTCGTGACCGTCTGTCGTGTAATATGGCACGCTCAGCATCTGAAAGGACATCGTGCTGCTCGGGATGCTCGGTTACACGACAGCTGAGCCTGTAACGGGACCCAAGGGACCCCGAGAGTTCCAGCCAAAAGAGCACATCTAAGAGAGTCAATGAGAAATTTGTAGCTTTGTCGCCCTGTCTCTTGACTTTCGGCATGGTGGATGTTAGGCTTAACAGCAGAAATGATAGTTCTGTCAATAACATCCTGTTATCAGCTCATTTTTTACTGCTGTTATTTGCATTTTTAATATGGCTTTATGCAATTTTAAGAAATTTAAAACTAAACTAAATATTTTAATCAGGGAAATCAACAAATTTTTTTAGATTTGATAAATTAAAAGGCTTCCGTTTTTTTAATTTTAAAAAATATTTCCCATGTGTTTATTAGGTTTCTTAACTTAACTGAAGCTGTACACTATTTATGTTACTTTATTTTGAACTTCACTCAAAGTAATTTATAACAATTTAAATCTATTTTTTGGCAGTTGAGGCAAAATGTAAAGTTCTAAATTTACTTTAATCCAAAGATCCCCGAGGGGCTGCAGTTTATTTTAGACAGTTATCAACACATTTTCATGGGGGCCTGTCAATAATGCGGGCACTTTAAAAAGTTAGCTTTGAAATCAAAAACACCTTTTCGTTTTGTTTTTGTCGGGCGGCGTGCGAATTTTATAGTTAACGGATATCCTTGGTAGTTAAATGCAGACAACAAAGGGAGGGCAGACTGGAAGAAAAGTCCGTGTTGCAGCTGCATGTAAAAATATTACGTGCATGGTGGAGGTTGTTTTACTGACGGAGGGAGGGAGCGGTGATGTTTTGTGGGTGGTGATGTTGTTGGTGGTGTGGGCGGGATTCTGGAACGAATGACGACGACGGCAGCACAAAGTCATCTTATCATTTCATGAATAATGCAGGGATTTGTTAGGGACACATGACTGGAATTTTACGCAAAAGTTGTGATGATGTTGCTGCTGCTGCTGCTGCTGCTGCTGCTGGTGCTCTTGCTGCTGCTTCTTTTTCTTTTACCAACCGCCAACACTTTGAGGTTGTTGCTATTGTTGTTTCCCCTGCTGCTATATGTTACTATATAACTGCAGTCTTCTCGCTGGGTGCGGCAATCAACAGAAAATTGCAGATTTTAAATTCAAAGCATTTTGCTCGCTGTCCCTTTTTAAGCTCACTTCCCAGTTGGTTGTCCTGGCTGTTCCCATCGTCCCTGCTCGTCCTGTAACTTAATTCTAACGAATAATTTCTGATGCCCGAATATGAATATTAAAACAAAAGCAACGTGCACTGCCTGAGCATATGCCACACCACCTACCACTTTCTTTTGCTGTAAATGGCGCTTCCGGATCCGGTTTCCTCGCCAGTCACCTGCCACCTGCCTCTATCTGCCAGCTATTTATTTTATGCGAATTTCGCTCGTCTCTGCTCGCAAGTAACGTGACAACTCAAACTTTGTGCCAGAGGCAGCAGGAGCAAAAGAAAAAAATAAATATATAGGAGGAGGATAAATAGGTATGCACAAAAACTTGCCAAAAAATGCAGAAGCTGCGGCAGGACGAAAAAAATAAAGGCAACTTCTTTCACGTTGCACTCACTCACACATACACATCCACGTGGGGATTCGTCTGCACGAGGGTGGGATAAAAAAGTTTTTCCTGCAAATAAATCAGAAATTTTAAAAATTCATAACTTTAAGTTTGCTTTATGACTTTTGTTTATAACGTGTTACCACACTGCGTATGCGTAATGCCTGGCATGCATGCTAGCCAAACGTCTGAAATGCGAACTCGCACAAACTTGTCAGCCCCAAAGGGTCTCAATAATTAATAAGATATGCTCAAATATTCAAGGAGCGAGCTGGAAAAAACTTCTCGTAGCTGCCAACTTTTATCTTACCCTTGCACATTGGAAAAGGAGCTTTGATACTGGAAATTTCTTATATAATCATTCAACGTTTTACCTTAGGTTTAACACAAACTGTATTTTATTTTTACCAAGATCGTTAGCATTTGTGAGTTCAAAGTATTTTCATTTGTTTTGTTTTACCTAACTCTTAGGTCAGTTTGCGGTTCAATGTGGGTCATTTGTTGGTTTCACTAAAAATATGATTGAAATTTGCGAAATTTTATAGAATAAATTCATAAATATTTGCATATTCAAAGTTTATCTTTTGGCATTCTGTTGGAAAGGTATATTTCCTAATAAATTATTCACCAATCGAAGACAAAGGCCTACAGTTTGTGGGCCATTTACCCTTACACTTTTCCAAAGGACTCCATCACGTTGACACACTTTTCCTTCTTAAGTTCTGCAAGATGGCTGCAATCAAGAAGCCGTCATTTTTGGCCGCAATTTCATGGTTCATCCAGGGAAAGCTTCTCGCTGACTGCACTGAGCGAAAATGTGGCAAATATAAACAATCTTTATTATAAATATAAAAGCAATCAAGATATACTTCCGAAAACAACGAAACCTCTTAATTTACGTTCAAATGAAAAGTAATTTCAATTTTCTTTAACCCATATAATTAAAAAAAAACCTTTAATCATTTAAAACACAGGAATATAATTTTTAACATGTAATTTGTAAATCAATAAGGATCCTTGAACCAATGTTTGCTTTGATAATTTCATCATTACATCGGCGCACATTGTTTGTGTCAGTGTTTATATGAATTTTTATACAGTTACCTTAATGAAAAACTAAATTGTCAATCAGCCATGAATTGAATCAAATGAAGTGTAAAATTACAATTTCATCCAATTTGCAATTAACTCAACGAGAAGATGGCAAAAAGAGGAGCATCTCTTTTTTTCCAATTTCAAATTATTCCAATGGAACGCACATGTAGCCGGACGGTGAAGAGTTTTGTATCTGTATCTGTGCAATTCGCTTGCTGTTTACTATATACATATATATATATATATATATACAGATATCTGTGGAATGAGGTGAGGTACTTTCACTAGGAAACAACATTTTGTGTGGAGGGCAAAAAAAAAAAAAAAAAAAACCGCTGTCATCATTCTGGGGGAAGTGGGGGCAAGTTGTACGCTTTTCTTGTGGCTGCAAGGCACCTGGAAAAGTGCAAGTTTAATTGCATCGAGTGTAACTAGTTAATGGCTGAAATTGCAAATTGAAATGGTGACAAAGTAATTGAGGTCAGGAAACTCCCCTCGGAGTCGAATCGAATCGAGCGCTAATTACAAAACGGACATTGCAGCTGCCAATGGGGTCACTTGGCAGCTTTTCCGTGCGTCGCCTCCCATCGCATCGCATCGCGTTTCATTTTCCAGCAATATCGAAAAATATGCAACAGCAATTGCCACAGCAACAACGCCAGCTGCCAAAGTTGTGCGGAATGTCAAAGTTTTCCCGGTTCCCGGTCGCTCTTGCACTCTAAAAACATTTACAAATTGATTTTTTGTTGCCGCTGTCATGTTCCAAAAACATATATATATATCTACATTTTATATACTTTTTTTTGGCATTTAAATGGCAAAAATGGCTAGGCAGAAAGCCGCAACGGGAGTTACGCACATCCGAATGGCAAAACCAAACTGATGTATTTAATGGAACATTTTGGCACAATAACAAAATGTCCGCAATAAAACGTTCATTTGCATGTTCATTTTAGCCCGTCTGCCATAAATGCAAACAACTGGATTTTCCTAAACTAAAACTAAATTCGAAAAGAGCTGATGCCAGAGCATGGCCAAAAATTAACGTTGGCCATTTGCTTGTTAGCCATGTCCCCCGACAAAATGCTTTTTGACGCGACCTCTGCATATTAGCAGCTGCCAATGAAAATTTATTGAGTGGAGAACCGCAGATGAAAAACTCTTAATTCGACAGTTTATAAACAAGGTGATTGAACTTAAAGCCAAAAGCCCAAATGGAAAAACTGGGAAAATGTATAACAATTTGGATGATTTCATACATAAATGTTGCTTCATATTAATACTAAAAAAGTGAATTTGACGTAGAACTTGAACATATTTGATGTTATCAAATAAATTCAGTAAAAAATCATTTACTAAAAATATTCACTTAGTTTAACATTGGAAACTATTTGATTTATTTACACAAACCAAGTTCTCTCAATGCACTTTTTTATAAACTCATCATCAAACACTTTTAAACAAATTACTCTATTTTTTAATTTTAACACAACTATAAAACCTAATCGAAACTGCACACTGTTAATGGACTTTTCCTCATTTGCCATTAAATAAATCATACAAATACTTGACATTTAAGTGCTGAAAAAATGAAGTTATTGTTATTTTTTATTAATTACAAATAATTAACCATTTTAATACCACGCTATCCACAAACATTTGTGAAACAATCAATCATCGGTGAATTAAGTTAAATATTCCCAAGAGCTCTCCTCGAGTATCAATAGCCTCCAATTTAACGAGCATTACATGACAGTCTCGCCTCACCACTCACAAAAAACTTAACAAGGGCGCATTTATTTAAAAAAAAAAAACCTGGGTTAAAGTGGTACAAAATGCCAACTCCCAACGGCAGCAAAAAATATTAACAACTTGTCAAGAAGGTTGGAAAATATTAAGTTATTTAAGGTGGAACATTGAAATACTCTGATGTTATGTTATTATTTTTTAAAATAATATTTAAAGTTTTAAGTATTAAGATTATAAGAAGGACAACCATTCATATTTTTATCCAAAAGTTGTTACATTCTTTTGAAATATTCATTACTTCTCTGACGGAAAACACATCAATACAAAAGGGCATTGTAATCATGTGTTGATCAGCGAATGTTTCAATCAATCAAGCGAGAGCGGTGTGAAAATCATACGAGCGGCGTGAAAAGGAAACGGAAATTGCTGTGAATTGTGTGCTGTCCACAGGTAAACACATCCGTGTCCACATATATATACATATATAGTACATATTGGATACAGTGCTTCTGCTTGGGCAGCTGTAAATGCCACTTGATTTCAATATTTCAATCAGCGATGCGCACAGTTAGTTAAGCTTTTTGCATACATTATGCAATTTGAGCGGCCACAAATGATGCTGCATGAGAGCGCTGCAGCAGCAACAATAACATCATTAGATCCAACCGCGGCAGCTCATCGCCGTTGGTCTGCAATCCCGCCAATGGCGACATTAAATCATCGATCCAACAAGTACCTGTTAAGGGCTTTTGCCGCATTTTGGGTTCTGGCTTCCTTTCGATTTGCAGTTGGCCAAGAGCCCACGATTTTCGTGAGTTGACAGGAAAAACAGAGAGCAAAAAAAGTATAGGTTTTTAATGAATAATACATATATAAAAGTAAGCGACGATATATTTTAAATTAAAAAGATTTATCCCTAAAGATGGCATTGCATTTTCATTGCATACTTTTGGGCAACTTCATTAATAACCAAAAAACCAAATAGAACAGCAATTTGTGTTACTCTAAACTAAAACATTTTACACTGATTTATTTCAGTGTACTGGTCGCCGTTGGTCTTTTATTTGTTGCCTGTACTCGTTGCTTGTGCATATTGTGAATGCGCGCATTTCGAGCACGTGATTGAGATTTTTACATTTAAAACGTGACTGAAATATTTTGCAGTTTCGTCACTTCGATGCCTACCGCAGAAGGATACATTCTCGCCATTTACCATTCTGCCAGCCGACTCGTTCTCCATTATCCCTTCTCCGTTTCTCGGTTCGCCATTCTCCATTTCCCGTACTCCATATACTGGATTTCCCCATTCCGTATTCCGAATGCAATGAAATGTATTCAATACTCCGTCAATGATGTCCCAAGGACCGTTGGCCTGCGGCTGCCTTTTATTATTATTATTTTTATGTGCTGCTCTTCCATTTGTTCGATCCCCACTTTGCCGGTCAGCGTTGTCCTTTCACCTTTTTGCCTCCGTCCTTTTCAATCAACGGCAAATGGCCAAGTGTTAACTAGATTTAAATAATGCATTAGTCCTCGCTGCCTTTCGTCCACAAAGTACGGCATTCGCCATTTGAAAACAGTCCTGGCCAAATTCTAGTCAATCCGTGTTTTACAGTTCGTTTTAAATTTTCAAATTCAAGATGAGTGTGAAACGGAGAAGAATTTTAAATGTTTGCTAAAAGAGCTGTCAGTATTTAAAAAAAGTATCTAAGATTACTGTAAATTATTGTGTTTCTTTGAAAAAATATATAAATGATTATTAATTAAAAGTCAAGAACTTTTCTGTTAAAAAGCCATAAAATTGAAATTATCAAGTCCTTCGACTATCAATAAATCGAAATTGCAATGAAAACTGGTGACATGTGTTTGAGCTGGCAAACCTGACAACAAACCGAAACAAAAATGGCAATTGAAAATTTTTTTGATTAGCCAAGCCATTTGGGGCTTCGACAGGAAGTTTCCGGCAACTGAAAACTGCCACAAATTCTCAGTTGTCGTTGGCCAAAAACTTGCCAAAAAGGAGGAGCTACCCAACGACAGTTGCCAGGCTGTAAATAAAATTTAATGAAATGATACGATAAAGTTGTGAGTGTGTGATTTACACACAGCAGACCCGGAGATGGTAGGGCACGATTGCATATGCACTGGAGAGAAAATTTTTATTCAAATTTAAATTTGATAGCCAAAGTTGATATATATATGAAAATCACATTCAAAAGAGTAGTAAAATCATCTTTAGTTTAACGTTACGTCTTAGCGTACAACGCACAGAATACATGTTATTACAAAAAAGATATTAAAAATCACATTTTCTGGATTTTGTGAATCTAGATTATCTCATCAAATTAGATACATTCTTAAAAGTAACACTAATTTCCTTCTTACCTCTGCTAACTCACCGACCTTACCGTATTCTTTAAATCTCTTGATGGATGTTTTTAAAAGTTCCTATATTTAGTTTCTTTTTTCCAGTGCACGGCTTGTTAGTCAAGTCTGTTTTCTCGGGGTTTTCCCACACTTGTTCTCCAAAAGTCTGGCTCCCGTTCGTTCTTTGTCTCAGTGCGTAATTTCAGCATTGGCAATTAAAATTTTGTATGAGTTGCTTGCAATCAGTGCACAAACTTGCCACGCACAAACAAATACACTCGCAGGAACACCCACACAGCTATCAGTACACACATACAGCATCGGATGCATACAGTTGCATGTGGCGACAAACTCAGCTGGTGTCTGCATAATTTAAAGCATACATTTAGGCTGCCGGTCCTGGCTGTGTGATAAATGCCAACCAGTCAGCGCACACCCATACACTCGCACGAACACCCACTATCTCACGAGCACACACATACAGTCGTGCGAAGGACATCAGTTCGCTGCTGCTGACAATTCCAAACAATTTGCCGAGTCTGGCAAGCATTTTGGGTTTGGTTCCCTGTTCGTAGCTGTGATTGCCGTCTTCGGCGCTCTGCCTTGATTATAAACCACACCCACTCGCAGACACACACTCTTTGACACGTTGAGAAAAAGGGATTAATTAAATAATTAAAGGTTTTTAGTTTAGTAAAGTCTGTTTTACATGTGTCTAATATTATGATACAAATATTTTAAGTCGAAAAATGAAATGTGTCTTAATTTTTTGTATACTTTTTTATGCCATTATTTGTGATATCAAACTTCTGTGTTTTAAGTAAAATTATTAAAAGAAAACAAATTTATTAAAATTAGTTAACTAAGATAATTGTACTTTGATTATATTTCACTGTGTACTAACCCTATTTAGTCTCCTGTAAACTACTAACAAATGTTTAGAGAAAACTTGTTTCTTGTTATTCTGCATATTTGACAAACACTTCGCAAGCTAACAGCTAACGAATCCCAAGTCATGGTACTCCTTAAATCCATTCAATCCCAAATCTCCGTCAAGTATTTCAAATTCGAATTATGAACAGAGATACTTCATTTTTTTGCAATTGGAACTTTGCCCATGTGAAGTTTACATTGAGATTTATTTAATTGCAACCTGACAGATTTATTTATTTCCTAAACGGTTTATAAATAGGACATGAGCTGGGCTAAATACTGGCCGAATAAAGTGATTGAGATTATAGTGGAGTGTTTGCATTTCAGTGAGATTTGTGCATTATTTACATGGCGTAGGCCCGTCGCATCATCAGATCAAAGTACATATCGTCATCGATTGAGGCACTAACGGTGGCATAGTAATTGACAAACTCCTCGCGAGTTATCTGTAGTTTATAATATTATTAAAAAAATAGAAGTTTTTAAAGTTAAAATTAAACGCTCACCACGCCATCTAAATTTCCACGACCTCCTTCGAAATTGTGCAAAAAATCGGTAAGGATTTCATCCTCGGACTTTTCGCCGCTCTGATACAAGGGATGCTCCTTGACCGAGTAAACATTCTTGAGGTCTTCAATGGTGATAACACCATCATTATCACGATCCATTTTGTCAAAGGCCTGATCAATAAGACTCAGGCGACCTTGCGGCATTGGGGGCTAAAAAAAAACCGAAACAATGAACTAATTATATTAAATTTGAAGTAATATAAGGATTACGATTGTGAAAGGTTTAAGTAATTGGGTTATGAACGAATAATAGGCGGATCTTATCACTAGACATATACAAATATGGGATATATATCTCCAACTTACCCTCAATTTAAGCAGAAACTCGGTCATGTTGATGGATCCGCTGCCATCCTCATCGAATCTAAAAGGAGATTGAAATTTAATATTAAAGAATATAACAGTCCCGATGGTACATTTGTCACTCACGTGGCAAACATCTGCTTGATCTCCTCTGCCGTTACGTCCAAGCCCGTGTCCTTAATGCCGGTGATGAACTCCTCCTCGTTGAGCGCCTTGCTGCCATCATCGTCCATTGCCCGAAAGGCCCTGTTATGAATAATCCGAAATTAAACTGTCACTATTGCATAATTCATAGCAGCAGCGATTGAAATGTCGTTAAAAGCCAATAAGCCAATCTCACCTGCCCAGTCCCAAAATGCCTGTTGCTCCGCGGCTCAAGCATAGCAATCGGAGCTTGGTAATGGGATCCTTGTCGGCGCCATCTGTTAGTTCCCGGAGAGCCCGGCTGGCCAGTTTAGCCTCCAGAGTGTAAAGGTCGCTGTTCGGGGACTTTCGGTAAGGCATTTCAAAAAAAAATTATTATTTATTTATTACGTTTTATACAATTTAAGATTTAGATTATACAATGATTTAGAGAGTACTAGTTCAGAGGTTATTATGATTCGCAGAGCCTACTATTAACATGCTTATCGATTTATTCAAATTTCAGTAAACTGTGGCATTGAATAGCTTTTCTTGAACTTTCCATGTGGGCGTATAATTATAGAAAGTTTACTATGAATAATAGATTGCATGTGGTAACCAAATGTTTGATTACCAAGGAAATGACCAGTAAGAAAGGGAAATAGTTTGTTCATTTTAAAGTTAATAATACATATTTGGTTGTAGAAGAAAGCATTTCCAAATGTTAAGTAAATGTTTTGATAAACATTTTTGATATTATATTTATGGAGGACTGATAAATTATTTATGGTGAATTGTTCTCCTTATAATCTTCATTTTGCATCTCTCCTTATCATCTCCACAAAAAGCCTTCAAAACCTCGTGAATTGAAACCAGAGTAGGTTTACATTTTCCTAAGACATATCTTATGGCATTTCCACGTAATGCAATTAACCCAAAACCGCTTAAAAAGTGACTAACGAAAATCTCCATTTATGGATCAAGTAATTAAAGCCGCAGAGTAAACACAAGCAATATCAAAACAAAAGATCGCTTTAACTGCTATGAATCACTCGCAACGCCTCAGCTGATATTTCCCAAAGACGCTCACTTTAAGTTTCGTCACAGTGCCCAAAGCGAACTGTTTTCAATTAAGGGATTTCGACACAAAGGTAGACAAGGGGAGTAAATAAATCTGGTGGCTGGGCGCAACAGAAGTGGGGTAGACTTTTTTCATTTCGGTGAAAGCCCCTTTCGCAATTTCTCTAATTGGAGACCAAGGTGAAGGTCGCCGACCAAAAGTTTAGCCCCACAAACAGCAAACAAATGCGGAAAAAAAACAAGTCGTGGCTCCGCACAACTTACCTCCATGTTTGGGTTCTTTTTTTTATGCTATATTTTGAATAGACCTTTTCACTAGTTTTATACAAAATTTGATGGAGTCTTGTGTTTTTTTTATAGTCGCCCAACTGAATGGATAACTGCAAGATACTTGTTACTTTGGCGGCTTTGAAATGCAAACTGAAAGCGAAAAATAAAGCGGCGGCAATGAATAAACAGCCAGGCGCTCGTAGAGAGGGAGATGGGTAGATATACAGAGATCTGTAGTGAGAACGAGAGGCACTCAGCTGGGGGAACGAGTGGAAATGAAATATGAGCTTTGCCGGCTTTTGTGGCGAGGGAAAAACTAGTTACTAAAAAGCATTTACGCTCATGTAGAGCAGACAGCTAGCCCCAGACAGAAAAGCCACCAGCTAGCTAGCTTACTCACCTGACTCATCCGCCTAATAACTCGCTCGCTCTGCCAGTGATGGCAATTTCAATTCATAAAAAATAAATAAACAGGTGGATATTTTTCAAGCTATAAAAAGGCATATAACATGAAAAATATTTTCTATACAGAACTTGTGTATATAATTTTTAATGACAAGTTCACTTACCATCATTGAAATCAGCAATTTTTTATGAATTAAATATTAAGGAAATTTCTGTTTTTTAAACATTTTTTTAATACGTTGAAGAGAACGAAAGTTCTTTAATTTTTTAATAAAATAATTTTAAATATTTTTTAAATTTTATATTAAACCATTTCTTAACCCTTTTTGGTGTTAAGGGCATGCATACGATACAGATTGTTTAGATATTCGCCAACACTGACCACTGAATATATCCGGCCTTCTGAACATTTTATTTCAATTAAAAAGTGGCTATTTCCCAGTGCCTACACATCAATTCCGTGACTGTCTCTGGCCAAATGTTTACCTCCGACCAACACGGGCAGACAGAAAAAAAAAACACAAACGCAATGTATGTGGCCTGTAAAATTGATCTAGATAAAAAATGGAAGCACCTAAAAGTATGCAATTCAAAGTGTCCACCAGATTGAAATTTATTCGCTTTGATTTTATTGCAGTTTCAACGAAAACAGAAAGGTCAAAGTTAAATAAGCTCTGCTTTTTGGAGTAAAATCGAATTTTATTTTTTGAATTATATTTGAGCATGTTATTCATGACATTTGACTTTAATTCAGAGAATTTTAAATATGAGACCTATCTCTACTTAAGTAGCTATTTCTAAATGCAAATTCCTTATTGTCGAGGTCAAAGACAGCTTTTCAAAACAACAATTACTAAACTGTGGTATAAGCAAATTAGCCTCAATTCTGATATTTTTCATTTATTCCAACTCACAGCTAGACATTTACAAAAATATTTACTGTAACTCAATATTCAGGTGCTCAATTTTCTCGGAGTATTGATTATTTTGTTTTCATTGGCTTTCGTTTGTTTTGATTGTATTTGATTGTGCCAGGACTCATTTACTTATTCTAGGGACATGTAATTTGCGGAATCGCCTTGAATTTAGTTGCAATTGAAGGTTGCTTAGGTGATACACGTGTTCCACGGGTCGTATGAGTGCCATATAATATGCATACGCCCCTAGAGCACTGCCATGTCACTCGGCCATTATTGGAAATAAACCAGGCAAACATGACAGCACAATATTTTCACTTCGAATGAAGAGTGTTGGTCTATCGTGGCCCAAATAATCAGTCATGAATCAATGCCCGAGGCTAACACGGCGTATGCGTAATATGTATTGGAATAAACACTTTGAACTGGCACTTTGAACGGCTTATCCGCTATAAGCCGGTGTTTTTGTTTGATAATTGATTATTTTATAACAACCTTGAGGCTCCAGCCCTTCGTGCGAATAGCCTTCATGAACATTCCGCCTACCGAATTAAAATCCAACTAAATTCGGTCCGCCAACTTTAGTCACTGAAATAATATAAGCCGCAAAAGTAAATGGAACTAGGCAACAGCTCGGGGTGAACCACAACACATTGGTGCGATGAGCGAACCGCAATGTAAATATGGGCCAAAAGGTGACTCACATCAAGCCTTTGAATTAGCCCCGAATTAGCCAAAGAAAACACAGGGAGAAAATGCAGAAAAATGAGCAAACACTGAGGTCGACAGATTTTAAATTTAATAAATAAAGTAATCAGCTGAAATATATAAAATAAAATAAATCAATATTAATATCTTCACATAATAAAAATCTATTTTCGTTTACCTTTGATTTGGAGTAGCAACTTCCCCTCGTTCGTCGTTCTGAAAAAAGCTTTTCAGTGGAAAAGGAGCCAAGCGAATGACCAGTGGAAATGACCTGAAGGTTTTCCACCTTTTCCACACATTTCCCCAGTTCACTGGCTGCCCGTCTGAGTGTGTGTGTGGGTGTGTGTAAAAGGGGCGATGGAAAATGGGCGGGAATCGGAGCACAGAGAGTGTGTGTGCATTGATGTTGTCAACGCATCAACTGAGGCTGAACTCAATCAGTGAATCACTTCACAATTCGCTGATCAAAAGGAAAACAATCATACGCATTTGAAGTGTCAGAAATTGCCAAAGAGGAAAAGCCTCAGTTGTGCAAGGGAGATGGCCAGACATGCGAATGAGGCAGAATATATACAGAGAAAGAGGGTGAAGGGGAGAGAGAACGAAGAAGACCAGGACCCTTTCGTCCTTTTTGCCATTTTGTCATGTTGACACACTCAAAACTCGGCGACTGTGTGCGAGTGTCTGGCTTGTATTTTCTTTTTAATCAATTTATATGCAAATAAGTGAAATGCTTAACTGAATTTGAGCTGTCTCTCTGACTGACTGACTTGGCACGCCCTATCCAGTTTGGCCCCCTCTCAATCATTTGGCTGCCTTTGCCTTTTTGCCAGTTGCTTGATTGAAAACGTTAAACGCATTGATTAAAGAAAGTCGCAAATACGACTGCGATTTAATTGAACTTGTTTCCAAGGAATTCCCTTTGCCACGTCCACTGATTGCAACATCCAACTGACTCTCCAACCGAAGCCCAGGGTCTTCCCCAGACTGTTGCAAATATTTGCCCTGCCAACAGCTGGTTGACAACCGCAGTTAACTAATATGCCTTTCAGCCAGTCAAACCGAACAGGATTCATCCGAAAAACACACCTTGAAAAAATGTCTCTGAAATTAAAATACTAGATATGAATGAAAATAACATTTTATAAACTTGTTTAAAGTTTTTTAAAATTCAACAAAACAGTTTTTTATAAGAAGTTATAAGTTTATTATTCTTTCCATCGTTTAGTGCATTAAGTTAGCTTTCATTTCCCTTGACTTTTTCATCAAAAGCGAGAGCGACTATCACCTAATCCCATGGAACACCTTCATCACACCGGCGCCAGTTTTGACAGGCTCTTGAGAATTTCGGCCCTTTGTCTGTGGCAAAGCCTGTGTGTAAATTGATAAAAGTCAACTTGATAACTTCATTTCATTAAGTAAACATTAATCACATTAACTTTTGTGCCTGGTGTCGGTCTGGGACTGGTGCCGAAATTAACCCTAAATGCTTTCCCACTCCGCAAGCCCTCAAGATCTGTATAATTTTAATAAGAAAATCTGCTTGTCTGCTTTTCACACGCTCTCGACCTTTGGACCACAAAAGGCAAAAGTCTGCCAGGAGTGTGTCAATACATATTCAGCTTTGTATCCTTGTGAGAAAGGTTGTGTGTGTCTGTCGGTGTGTGTGTGTGGTGTGAACCCTTGAGGTCAAGGCGCATAAAACTTATTACTTAATTTAAGTTGGGTCGCCTGTGAACTTGACAGAGCCGAGACGACACCAAAGAATTTATCATGTTGGCAAATTTAATAAAATGCGAAATACATTTTAATACATTTCTGTTGCTGGAACGTCTTTGCCTTTGTCCTAATTTTCGAAATGAGCATCTGCATATTTCAATTTCCAGCAGATTTACATAAATTTCATAAGCCGAACTGAGTTGAATTGAGTTATTCATGAAAAGGGTTGCTTCTGCTCTTTGGCAAAAGGGCATAAGTGAATTGTTATTGGGTTTGTGATAAAATATAAAATAAAGAAGTAATAATAATAACTTTATTACATTTCAAGTCTTTAAACTTTATTATTTTCTAAAAATTATGAGAATTTTAAAGTAATTTTTTAGGATTACAAGAATGAGAGAAGAAGGTACGTCACCTTTCCAAACCTTAAAAATTAATAAGTGCATTTAAAATTCGTTCAGCTCATGTTATTTGTCTAGATTTGAACTTTGTCCCTGCCCAACTGTCAACCCGTCTGGACCCAAGTCTGCTTTGGGTCTATTACCGACACCGTCTGAGTTTTGATTAGTTATAGATGGTCTGGAAATTATGAAAACTGCCCGGACGATGATCAGATCTGATGATGGACATCCGATGCACACGAATCGGTAAACTTTTTTCATTTGCTTGTCGGCCTTCTGAGTTGGCCAATTAATTGGAAGGATATTGTATGCAAAAAGTTGAGATGCGAATGCCAAGAGCAGCGGATGATTTGATAGTTCTGTGCTTATTACACCTGGTGAGCTCTGCAGTTGTTTTTTTTTCTGTGGTTTTCTTTGGGTGTGTTAGGACGCTGTGTGTGGTTGCGTTGTCAAACTTTTCAAATTAAGCCAAGACTTTCTCTCACAAGCTCTTTTCCTCGTTCTCTGTTAGCCTGTCTCTCTGTATGTGTTCGCTCCTGCCGTTTATTTCCTAGTTTACTTAGTAACTAAATCACGTTTCTTATTTAAGCTTAAGAGCTCATTAACGCCAGGTTTGAACATTATCATAAAATGAGTCAGGAAACTCGGATCGGAGTCGCGTTTCGGTGTCTGAGTTCCTGCCAAAGTTGTTTCTGGGCCCTCAACAAGCTGTGCCAGCTAATACCTGCACACAAACAACCGCACAATCATATACACTGGAAAAAGTTCAAGTTGTATGTTCTTACTACTTACTCTGTTTATCTTCCCGGTATAAACATTATTCTAGAGGTCTTTATAATATGTTCTAAACATGTTTTTTGGACATACTATTTAATTTTTACACAATATCAGCCCTCTTTTTCAGTGCACACACACATGCAGCCGTCATCAATCGCCATTGAAATTCAATCCGCAAATTCTAACGAGCGACGACACTCACACACTCTCA